ATTCATCTAAACAATCTTCTTTGCTCTCGCAGCAAAGGAATGAGGAACCCAAAATTTTAAGAGCTACTGGAATGCCACCGGCATAATCTACCACCTTTTCCGCCAATTCTGTATAATCTGTTATACGAGTGTTATATTTGAAGGCATTCAAATGAAAGAGATGAACAGCTTCATCATGTTTTAATGCCTGAACCCCGTATATCTTATCTTCTTCAACAATTTCCTTAAGCAGGCTCCTGTCTCTGGTTGTTACAATGATTCTACTTCCGGGGCCATACCGAGCATGATCTCTGCCCCCGGCTAGAAGTTCGATTTGGCTTGAGTCATTCACATCATCAAGAACAATAAGGACCTTCATACGACTGAGCCTCTCACGAACAAAGGTTGATCCAATAGATGGAGTGTCAATATCTAGATTCTTATCATCTAGTAACTTACGGAGAAGTTTATTTCGCAAGTGAATTAGTCCATCTTTTTCCTCTGATTCCACCCTAACATTTGCAAGGAAACAACAAGCTTCGAATTTAGAAAAGAGTCGATGAAATATAGCATCAGCAAGGGTGGTCTTGCCAATACCACCCATGCCCCAAATACCTACACTGCAGACATCTAGTGAATCAATGGATAATAATGATTCAATTTCCTTGATACGGCTTTCAATTCCAACGTATCCCTTCAAATCACTTGACTTTTTGCGATTTAGTTTGGCCAAAATATCATCGACAACTTTCTGAACTAAATCAGCCTCCGACCTGGCATATATCATTACGAAGGGGACAACCGAAAGTTATTTAGTACGTATATATACCTGAACTGATATTAAAATGAATCAAATGGTCACAAGTAGTATGTATGTAGAAATTAATAAAAGCCTTAAGAGTTAGTTAATTACCCGACAAGTAGTATGTATGTAGAAATTAATAAAAGCTTTAAGAGTTAGTTAATTACCCGGCTTTGTTTGAATTATCGAACCCAGATATTTTTGCTGCTTCCCTCAAAGCATCCCTCCACTTGTGCACCTTGTCCATACTGTCCTTGAAACGTTCTTCAAGTTGAGCAAATGCATCTGCATAAGTCCCCTGCTGCTTTCTTATATGTGATGGATCGATGTCGTAAAAAATGGGTATGACAAACTGCCCATCTCTTTCCTTGCATCGCAAGATACTTACAAGTTCATCAAGACACCAAGTGGAAGAAGCATAATTTTTTGAGAAAATGATTACAGAAAGCTTTGATTTCTCAATTGCCTCGACAAGGGCAGGCGCAATTTTATCTCCTCTCTCTAGTTTGTAATCAATGTAAGTTTCGATTTTCTTCCCACGCAAAGCAGCATAAAGATGGCTTGTAAAAGTATTGCGGGTATCTTCACCTCTGAAACTCAGAAACACATCATGTTTTTCTTGAGGGAAGATGGTAGCAGAAGAAGAAGCCATATTCATTACCTGCAGAACCAACATCAAAAGACATCCGTGTTTTGATTAAGAGATGAAATACTAAAAGGGATTAAGATATGAAATATTAAAAAGGATTAAGTTGCACCTCAGGAATCAAGATCAAATGAAGAAAGATATATCAAATAGTTAGAAAGAAGTTGCAGAAAGCATGCTTTTTAGGAAGAAACACAAGTTAAGAAGTGTAAAGAAAGTGGGAGACGTATTGAAAGTCAAGAGTGCGTAATTGGGGTTATTGGTTAGATTGGTTATTAGGGTGTAGTTGTCCCTTTTACTTGTATCTTGTATAGATCCTTTCATATTGTTTTTATACTTATATCATTAACTCATCAGACATAATCAACGTTTGGAAATGCTTTGCCTTATTTATTTATTTATTTATTTATTTAACAGTTCAAACATACCTTTATATTTATTAGTATCTTGATTTCCTTGACAATTCAAGCAGATCTTGTGTGTGTGTGTGTGTGTTTTTTTTTTTAATTTTATTTGAATTTCTTAATTTGTTCAAAGGATGCTTTGGTTAGTAGCCATTTTATTTATTTATTTATTTATTTTTCTGGATTTATAGCACCAGGGGTATTGGTGAATGGTGAAGAGGTTTGTATGGGTCATGTCTCTTAAACATGTAGTGGGAAGTGAGGGTTTTGTTTAGTGTTTTAGATAATTTGAGGAACATGTAGATACTATGATTTGTGGTTGCTTTCTTAAACCATGATAAAGTAGTCCATTTAATTTTAACATAGATATCATTTTTTATCTAATGCATAAGTATATGAAATGTTAAGACAATAATATATTGGGCAACACTGTGTGATTTAAATTTGTGTTGGTTGATTTAAATTTGAGCTTTTTTGAGTTGGAATCATGTGTTTTGTTTAAGATATTATTTTTGGTTTATGAATGGTTTGCCACTGCGTAAGTTTGCATCTTTTTTATGGTTGGATTCATGGGTTTTTCTTAAGCTTTGAAGTTCTTAGTTTTTATCAAGAAATTTAATATGGGTTTCATTTATTTGTGAAACTAGCACTTTTTTTGTGAAAGATTTTCAGTAAATGATTGCTTATTTGGCTTTAAATTTCCAGGTTGTTCTAGACTTTGTCAACATCGCAGAGTTGTCTTTGGCAGAGCTCGATAGCAGCTTTGGGTAAGTCTGAATTGGCAGTAGATATGATTTTTCTTTGATTTATTCATCTTCTTTCGAATTTATTTGCAAATATTGTTGAAACCCATGTGATTCAAAGTTCAAATTTGTTTGTAAAGTATAAGTGTGGGTGTGGACACCCAATATGACTTTTACATGTTGTTGCTATCTGGTATTTGACAGAATTATATTGGCAACTGTCTAAATTTTGGTTTAGCTGCAGATGAAGCGAAATCAAAAGGTTACAAATGAGAGGTATAATTTAATTTTTATATTTGATGCATCGTTTGATTAAATGAATACAGTAGGAACATTGACTTGATGTATGTGCTTTCATATGGAAAACTAAATTTTGTGTGTTTATTAGCTTGTATATACTCAAAATTTATTTTAATTACAATAGAATTGTCTGAAAATTATGGAGAATTAGTATAAGTTTACACACCGAAAGAAATAGAATGAAAATGTAAGTAAAGAAAAATTAGAATGTAATACATAATATCTTTAGTGTGTAAGGGATTGATGACTAAATGTGCTACGTGGAGAGATTCCTTATTTCGTTAGTTAAGGGCAGCACTTGATAGAAGCATAACCAAAACTAGGTAAGAGTCACATTTTGGTTGCATTCCTATCCTAATTTTGTGTAGTATTCACTTAGCTCTATGTTGTTAACTATAAATTTTGCTATTTTGTTCCCTTTCGTTTTCTCTACTAATTATTGTTCTATGAATTGTATTCGTCAGTTAAATAATGATAACTAGAATGTCCAGGAAAAAAAATCAAGCATTACAGTGTTTGGGATGATAATTTGTATCCAATATGATAATTAGCCAGTCAGAGAACCTAATTTGGGAAGTGGGTTTTAAAGCTTTAATATTTTGTTGTGTGTAAATTTCTTGCTTTGCCTAGCTACCAAGAATCTAATAACCAAAGGCTTAGGTATTTTCCCAAATGGTTTTCAATTTGTTGTAGGTAAACAAGAGCTATCGTATTGTTATGCACATGGGAATGGAAGGGAAGTAAAAATTCAAGCTTTTAATACAAATTAGAAATGGAGCAACGCTAAACAAAAGATGGGTAAAACTGACCACTACTTTCTTTCCATTTAAATATAAATCAATTGATTAAGTGTGTTTAAAATGAAGTTTCAATTGTTTTCAAATTCTAACAACGAACTCCTTCGCGTTAAGATAATCTATTTAGAGTTTTGATCCACTTTTGATTATGCAGAATTTCAATTTTTTTCCATATAAAGTTTCCATTTTTCTTTTGAATGAGAGAAGAAGCTTTAATGGTTTACAATTTTTCCCTTTGTAGATTTTCGAAGTAGGACCGAGCTTTCAAAAGGCACTTCAAGTTCTGGAAATTATTTTTGTTATGCTTTTGTTATATCATGTTCTAAATTGTGCAAACCGTTTATTTAATTAGAGAAAATTAAGCACAATCCTGCTTATATACATATTGTTATTTTAAGAAACAATTTTGTTAGTCTTTTCTAAAAGAAATGATAATAAGAAACTGCAATTTACTTTTCGGTTTCATTCTTAACTGATTTCTGAATTTATGCCTAAGTCTAATCTACTCAAGACATGCTAAGCAAAAGGAGGAAAGGTTTAAGCAATGTGCCTTCATTGTTGGTTTATGTACTCTGCCTAAAAAATTGAAATAAATATGATATTTTCACTATTGCTTCTTCCAAGTTTTTTCCACGTAATATAAAAAAAGGAAATAAATATTTGTTTCCCTTTTTCTACTTTGTTCTTTTGCAGCAAAACAAGCATGATTTTGTTGGTACTGCTTATTTAGTGAAGCAACGGTTTCATATCGTGAACTGTCTTTGTGTGTTTATCACTTTATTCTTTACCGTTGTAGCTTCCTAAATGAATTTTGACATGTATGGAATTTGACAAAATGTATGTGAATAGTATTGTCTGCTGTATATACATATATATATTTTTTTTTTGAACTTCTACATGTGTTATACAATTTTCAATCCCAGAGCAACACTCGGGCACCCTTGCTAGTAACATTACTATTGTAGAACTATAACTACAGAATTATGTAGAAAAAGCCAATGTTCGAAATCCAGAAGCTACGAATACCAAACAGATTACAAAGATAAAGACTTCTACCTTGCACACAGGTGAGAAAAGCAGCTTCTTGTTGTCCTGTTAAGTAGTTCCAGTTGTGCCTTACATAAGAGCCAAAAATGGCAGTGTTTGGTATTGCTTTTTTTTTTCTTTTCGTTTTTTTCATTAAAAGTTGTTTCATTTAAAGTTAGGTAATTAAAAAGTATTTAATAAAACTAAAATACCTGCTTATTTTAAAAGCAATGACCTTCAAACAATTTAAAAAAAAAAAACTTGTAGGGTACTTTTAACATATAGTTTAATAAAAAGTGGAGTTACAACTGCCATCACCGCATTGTCACCACCGCTATAACCAACACCACAACTACAACAACCCTCACCACCGCCATTACCACCATCATTGTTATCTATTATTGGAATTTGAAGGTGTACTTTTTATTATGAAGGAATAAAGTACAAAGATAGCTCATATAAATGAGCGTAGAAAGAAGAAAGAAACAACACAAAAATAATTTTTCCTTGATTTACGCCTAATCACCTAACAACTAAAGCAAAATCAGCAATCCCTTGAATTAAGGAGAATGACAGCCATACTTTAGGTGGTAAACAGCACCCTCATGTATACACCCATGCTACCTACCAGCTATGGTAAGAGACAAATAACTAGAGTAGATCTTCTTCCAATACCTATCCACCCCAACCACCACACCCCACTATTAGCACCACCACACTACACACATCATTGTAGTTGCCATCACCACCGACACACCCCCATCGGCATCATCACCACCATTTTTTCCATTGCCAATGACGCCACTGTCAATAATGCCACCACCAGCACAACAACAATCACCACCATCGCTACCTTTACACCCTAAACCCTACTGATGACATCACCATTACCTCCACCATTGTTTTTGCTCGAGTCACTACCATTGTTGCCATTGCCACTGCCAACGCCGCCACCACCACCACCACCACAACAATCACCATTGCTACCTTTACACCCTAACTACTGCGCCCTACTGATGACACCACAATTACCTCCACCATTGTTTCTGCCATAATCACCACCACCACCATCGTTGTTGTCGTTGCCAAAACCTGCAATACCATGTCCATTTTGTCATTATACATAAATACATCACTTACATTAAAATTTATCAGATGTTTTTACACTGTTTTTTTCATACTCACAATAATTTTAAAAATACAGTTATCAAACACTCTAAACAAGCGAGTCATGGGGAAAGAAAAAGACCGCCTTTGAAAAAAAGGAATTTGCTTAAATTGTTAGGCCTTCCAAACAAAGGTGATTCTGCTTATTTTACAGTTCATTATTCTTAAAGCACGTCAAAGCAGTTTTATAAAAATGCACATCAATCTCAAACTGGCCTTTACTTTTACTTGATCCGAACTCACAACAACCTCCTAGGCAATTAGAAAATTTTAGTTGCTAAAGATAAAAAAAGGTCGTACCCAGTGCACAAGCCTCCCGCTTTACGCAGGGTCTGGGAGAGGTGAATGTCGGCTAGCCTTACCCTCATTTTATCATGACATAATTGTATTAGCGCAGACCTTGATTTGGACGCTGTCTCCAGCGCCAAGCAGCCTTGTGCTTCAAGAATTTGCAGCCCAACTGGGAGCTCCGGTATAGACAGCAGCTTCTTGCATTTGGTTAAACGAAGGACAGACAACTGAGAAGATTGTTTGATGCTTGCAGGTATGCTCGAGATCATGGTTCCACTTAGATCTAACTCTCGTAACGATGTTAAGCAAACAAGGTGATCAGGGATTTCTAATATACCACAGTAACTGAGGTTTAGTTCTTCCAAAGAGCGCAAACCTACCCGGAACTGAGGCAACTTTTTAAGCTTTAAACAACCACCAAACGTGAGAGTTTGAAGTGAGTTTAAGTTGTAGATGCTATTCGGGATACACTTCAGTTTTTTGCACCGGTAGAGCTGTAATGTCTGAAGCCCAATCAGATTTTCAATCGATGAGGGTAGCTCTTTAACTGCGGTTTCTGACAAGCTAAGAAAGTTTAGGTGCTCCATAGGCGCCAATATTTCTGGGAAGCATTGAAATTTTAAGCAACCAGCGAGGTTAAGTCTCTCAAGAGAATTTAACTTGCAAATGCTCTTTGGGAGACTTGCAAGACGTTTGCAACTTTCCAGTTCAATTTTCTTGAGATGAGAGAGATGCTCGATTGATGAGGGCAGTACTTTTATTGCTGTCTCAGTCAACTGTAACTCTGTTATGTTCCTGGGAAGCTCCGAAAACTTGCCAAGAGATGAGCAGCCCCAAAAAGACAAATTACGTAACTTCAACTTACAACTGCTGCTTGGAAGATTCTTAAGGTACTTACACCCTTGAATATTCAAGGTAGAAATGTTTGCACTAGACCAAACTGATGAAGGCAACTCCTCTATCACGGTGTTACTTAAATCTAAGTATTCAATATTTCCTGGCATCTTCGGAAGATTTCTGAGAAGTGAGCAGTATCCCAGGTTAAGAACAGTAAGCTTGTCCAGTTTCACAAAATACGAAGGAATTTCAACCAAACTTGTACATTTCATAAGATTTATATGCTTGATTTTCGGACATTGAGAAAGATCTGGAACTTCAGTCAGATGCATGGAGTGACTAAGATCCATCACTTTTAAGTTTCCAAGCTTCTGTAACAAATTAAAGAGAAATGGCAAGCATTAACAAGTTAGCCTGATTTACTTTGCCACACCACGTTTTCAACACAAACGCACGCGCACACACACATATACTAATATGTATATATATACCTGGCCTTTATTCCAAAGTTGTTCGACACTGCTGTAGGGCATTCGAAGCTCAACAAGATTGTCTGGAGAAAATTCTGATGGCAAAGATTTTAGTCGGTATCCCACCCAGCAAAGATACCTAAGAGAATTGGGAAGAGAAACATTTAACTCCGAGTTGCCATCACTAACATTGAGCTTGCCATAGCTATCAACATTGAGCAATCTTAGATTAAACATCTTTCTGAAGTCTGCGTGATTCAACGGTCCAATCTCTGAAATGTTAAAGGATATGCATTGAACGGCTGCAGTTCCCTGACAATCAAGAGCAAAAGTATAAATGTGAATAAAATATTGATATACTTACACACAACAAATTCAATCAGATGTTATCATCTCATAGAAAGCTCAAGATTTTTCTTGTATAAGAAAGTGAATAATTATAGTTCTTACCGTATTAGTTTTCAGTACATGATAGACATCATCCGCACTGAACAATCTACTTCGTTTTCCAGGCTCTTCAATACATTCTTCGCGAACAATTTCCCTGCCCATTTCTTGGACCAGAACATGCATTTCTATAAGCTTGCTTTCGGAAATTGATACGAGGGACTTATCACTGAGAGCTCTAATTCCCGCTGCACGAAAACCACAAGCATTGGACATTCTTTTTACAATATGCATAGTCTCCACTTTATGTAAACACGCTATATCAAGAAATATCTTCTTTTCGTTTTTTAATCCATCGTAACTTATTTTCAAGACTTTCTGAATGTTTTTCCTTAGAAATTCTTTCATTGCGATTGATTCATCTAAACAATCTTCTTTGCTCTCGCAGCAAAGGAATGAGGAACCCAAAATTTTAAGAGCTAATGGAATGCCACCGGCATAATCTACCACCTTTTCCGCCAATTCTGTATAATCTGTTATACGAGTGTTATATTTGAAGGCATTCAAATGAAGAGCTGAAGAGCTTCATCAGGTTTTAGTGCCTGAACCCCATATATCTTATCTTCTTCAACAATTTCCTTAAGCAGGCTTCTGTCTCTGGTTGTTACAATGATTCTACTTCCGGGGCCATACCGAGCATGATCTCTGCCCCCGGCTAGAAGTTCGATTTGGCTCGAGTCATTCACATCATCAAGAACAATAAGGACCTTCATACGACTGAGCCTCTCACGAACAAAGGTTGATCCAATAGATGGAGTGTCAATATCTAGATTCTTATCATCTAGTAACTTACGGAGAAGTTTATTTCTCAAGTGAATTAGTCCATCTTTTTCCTCTGATTCCACCCTAACATTTGCAAGAAAACAACAAGCTTCGAATTTAGAAAAGAGTCGATGAAATATAGCATCAGCAAGGGTGGTCTTGCCAATACCACCCATGCCCCAAATACCTACACTGCAGACATCTATTGAATCAATGGATAATAAGAATTCAATTTCCTTGATACGGCTTTCAATTCCAACGTATCCCTTCAAATCACTTGACTTTTTGCGATTCAGTTTGGCCAAAATATCATCGACAACTTTCTGAATTAAATCAGCCTCCGACCTGGCATACATGATTACGAAGGGGACAACCGATAGTTATTTAGTACGTATATATACCTGAACTGATATTAACATGAATCAAATGGTCACAAGTAGTTTATATGCAGAAATTAATAAAAGCTTTAGAGTTAGTTAATTACCCGACAAGTAGTATGTATGTAGAAATTAATAAAAGCTTTAAGAGTTAGTTAATTACCCGGCTTTGTTTGAATTATCGAACCCAGATATTTTTGCTGCTTCCCTCAAAGCATCCCTCCACTTGTGCACCTTGTCCATACTGTCCTTGAAACGTTCTTCAAGTCGAGCAAATGCATCTGCATAAGTCCCCTGCTGCTTTCTTATATGTGATGGATCGATGTCGTAAAAAATGGGTATAACAAACTGCCCATATCTTTCCTTGCATCGCAAGATATGCACAAGTTCATCGAGACACCAAGTGGAAGAAGCATAATTTTTTGAGAAAATTATTACGGAAAGCTTTGATTTCTCAATTGCCTCGACAAGGGCAGGCGCAATTTTATCTCCTCTCTCTAGTTTGTAATCAATGAAAGTTTCGATTTTCTTCCTACGCAAAGCAGCATAAAGATGGCTTGTAAAAGTATTGCGGGTATCTTCGCCTCTGAAACTCAGAAACACATCATGTTTTCTTGAGGGAAGATGGTAGAAGAAGAAGCCATATTCATTGCCTGCAGAACCACACATCAAAAGACATCCGTGTTTTGAATAAGAGATGAAATACTAAAAAGGATTAAGAGATGAAATATTAACCAGGATTAAGTTGCACCTCAAGGATCGAATGAGAAAGATATATCAGATAGTTAGAAAGAAGCCGCAGAAAGCAAGCTTTTTAGGACGAAACACAAGATTGAGCAGTTTGCAGAGACTAATCTATTTATGTGGATGAGGTTTGGCGACTCTTAGTCAAGACGACTATATGCAACTCTAAGTCAAGAAGTTCAAAGAAAGTAGGAGACCTACTAAGAAGTTGCAGAAACCACGCTTTTTAGGAAGAAATACGAGATTTTGAGCAGTTGCAGAGAGTAATCTATGTATGTGGATGTGGTTTGGCAACTCTTAGTCAAGACGACTATATGCAACTCTAAGTCAAGAAGTGTAAAGAAAGTAGGAGACGTAATTGCTTTGAATATTCTTCAATTGACTATTCCTCATGCAAGATATTTTATACAACATTCCACAATCAATACATATCTACAATCATGGCATGCGAACCGCGATCCCCAATTTGTGGGATTGTCCTAGGTTAGAAAAGGTATTATATAATCATAATAATATTTTCCTGATTTGTGGGATTTTACCTATGTTAAGAAAGGAATAATATATTAATAATATTTCGTTAATACTCCCCCTCAAGTTGGAGAGTGAATATCGTGAATTCCCAACTTGTTGCGCAGTGTCACAAATCCTTTGTAAATACATCTGCTAGCTGAAACCGAGTAAGGACATGTGTAGGGCTAATCATTTCAACTTGCAATTTTTTTTTGAACTATATGACAGTCAATTTCAATGTGCTTTGTACGTTCGTGGAAAACTGGCTTAGCTGCAATGTGCAAAACTGCTTGATTATCATACTATATAGTACAATGGTGTGGAAGCTACATGTGGGACCTTTAAATCTTGTAAAATATGTCGTAACCAAGTTAGCTCCAAGCATGTGTTGGCCATAACTCGATATTCGGCTCCTGCTGATGGGTTTTAGACATTGATTTGTTTCTTGGATTTCCATGAGATAAGAAAATTTTCAAGAAAATGCAGTATCGTGTGATTGACCTGCTAGTGTCAAGACAACCTCCCCAATCTATATACATGTGTAATCATAATAAGATATATCAGAATCAGATAGTTAGAAAGAAGTTGCAGAAAGCACGCTATTTAGGAAGAAACACAAGATTGAGCAATTTGCAGAGATTGATCTATGTATGTGGATGAGGTTTGGCAACTCCTAGTCAAGACGACTATATGCAACTCTAAGTCAAGACGGGTAAAGAAAGTAGGAGAAGTAATTTCTTTGAATATTCTTCAAAGTTCAGTTGACTATTCCTCATGCAAGATATTATATAAAATATTTCACAATCAATACACATCTACAATCGTGGCATGCAAGCCATGCATTTGTGGGATTGACCTAGGTTAGGAAAGGTATGATATAATCATATAATAATATTTCTGTGATTTGTGGGATTTGACCTATGTTAGGAAAGGAATAGTATTATAATAATATTTCTTTATTCCAATCAAGTTGGAGAGTGAATATCGTGAACTCCCAACTTGTCGCGTAGTGTCACAAACTGGTCATTTCTTAAAGCCTTTGTAAATACATATGCTAGCTATAATTGAGTAGGAACATGTGAAGGGCTAATCATTCTAGCTTGCAATTTTTCTCGAACTATATGGCAGTCAATTTCAATGTGTTTTGTACGTTTGTGGAAAAATGGATCCGCAATATCCAAAGCTGCTTGATTATCATAGTACAATGGTATAGGAGCTACCTGTGGGACCTTTAGATCTTGTAAAATATATTGTAACCAAGTTAGCTCCAAGCATGTTTGGTCATGGCTCGATATTAAGCTTCTGCTGATGACCTTGAGACATTGGTTTGTTTCTTGGATTTTCATGAGATAAGAGAATTTTCAAAAAAAATGTAGTATCCTGTGACTGATCTACGTGTGGCACGACAGCCTCCCCAATCTGAATCACAAAAGGCTTTCAAGGCAAGATTGTTAAAGGCAGGAAACAGTAAACCTTGACCAAGTGTGCCTTTGATGTATCTAACGATCTGTAAGGTAGCATCCTAATGTGTTTATCGAGGCTAATGCATGAATTGACTAAGGCCCCGTTTGGGATTGAGGTGATTTTAAAAAAAGCCACTGTGAAAAAAAGCTGAGGGTCATTTTTGTGTTTGGTAAACTGAAAAAAAAGGGCTTATTTTGGAAGCTGCTGTGAGAATAAGCTGAAAATCAAAGGAAAAGCTGAAGCTGCTATTTGCTGCTTTGAAAAAAAGCCAGTTTTTTCAAAGCACACGGAGCTACAGTGCTCCTTTAATGAAAAGACACACTATCATCCTGCTTTTTTTTCCAAAAGTACTTTCACAAAAAAGTTTACCAAACACTCTACTGGCTTTATTTCACAGCCGCTTATTCTCAAAGCACAGCCGCTTATTCTCACAGCAGCTTTTTTTCAAAGCACAGCAATACCAAACCAGCCCTAAGTGTTTGAAAAAAGTAGACTATGGGTTGGTTTGGGATTGTAGTGCTTTTAAAAAAACAGCTTGTTAAAAAATCTAGAACATAAAATGTGTTTGGTAAAAAAAGTGATTTTTTTTTTTGGGAATTGTTATTAGCACTCCAAAAATCTCATTCTACACTCATCACAAGTGTATTTTTCTTTCTAATTATAGAAAGTTTGGAGTGCCAAATGAGATTTTTGGAGGGTTAATAATAATTTCCTTTAAAAAAAATTAAAAAAAAAAACTTTTTCAATGACAATAGAAAAGTGTAGAAAAATAGAAGTATGGTCTACCATACTTCCAAAAAAATGCTTTTTTTTTCTTCAAAACATAGTAGTCAGTGCCTATGTAATGGAATTTTCAAATGGAAAGTATACCCCCACATATTTTACAAAATTACAATTATTGCCCCTATAGTATTCTCTTTGATAATTATCATATCACATTAAATACCATATCATTTTTAGTCATTTAAAATATTCACAGTAATTTATGTAAAAGTTTACCAAACATTCAGACACTATTTTTTTTGTTAAAAGCACTTTTACAAAAAAAAAAAATTATTACCAAACACTCAATAACTTTATTTTACAGCTGTTTATTATCACAACAAAGTAGAAGCAGTTTTTTTAAAAAGCACAACAGCCAACCCAATAACTGGCCTTGTGACAGTGAGATAAATTAACCTACCAACCAATCTTCTGTATTTGGTTGGGTCATTGAGCAGCGGTTCACCTGTGAGTGTGAGCTTGAGATTTTTTGTTCCATTGGAAACTTGTTTGGTTGTGCACCTGTGAGTCTTGAGTCTTGCAACATATCTAGTACGTAGTTTCTTTCTTTGAGACATGAGAATACCTTTCTTGGAACGTGAAAACTCAATGCCTTAGAAATACTTCAAATCTCCAATGTTTTTTATTCGGAAGCGTTTGAGAAGAAAAGTTTTAAGGTGTTCATTTCTTGAAGATCATTGCCATAAGGAGTACATCATCCATGTATATAAGGACTGCATTAACGGAAGTACCTTGTGCCTTGGTGAAGAGAGAATAATCAACCTTCGATTGATTGTAACCAGCTCTCTTAATGGAATCTAAAAAGGTAGAAAACCAATTTCTAGAAGCCTTTTTGAGTCTATAGAGAGATTTGTTGAGCCGACATATAATGTTCCCCCCCCTGTCGGCGAAGACTAGGAGGAGACTTCAAACCAATTCATGTAAGTGACTATGAAGGAAGATATTTAGGACATCTAATTGGTGGATATATCAATGACAGGTTGATGCAACAGTAAAAAAAAACGGATGGTGGTGAGTTTGGCAATCGGAAAAAAAGGTTTCTTGATAGTCAACGCTATCAACCTGAGTATAACCCTTGGCAACAATACGAGATTTGTATTGCTTAATGGTATCGTCGAACTTATATTTGACTTTGTATACCCACTTGCAGCCAATGAGTTTATGACCAAAAGGCAAGAGAACTATAGTCCATATGTGATTTTGTTGCAGAGCTTTTAATTCAGCACGTATGGCCTGTTGCCAATTAGGATCTTAGATAGCTTGAGCATATGAAGCAGGCTCGGTAGGACCTGTGATGTTAGTTAGAAAAGCGGAATAAGTAAGAGAGAAACGAGAATAGGAAAGAAAATCAGAGAGGGGATAACAAGTACCTGAAGGACGAGTCGATGTACTGATGTGGTTGGACATGTGGTAGTCTTTATGCCATGCCGGAAGGTGCGTAGGATGGGTGAATGTCGTGTGAATGTCGTGTAGATGCCATGGTTGGCTCCGAAGAGAGGGGGTGCTATCGGGCTAGCATCAGGAGAAGGTGGGTTGGTATCAGGAGTGGGCTGATATTATTAAGAGGTGGGCTGGCAGTAGGAGAAGGTGGGCTGGCATGTGGTGATGGGCTAGCCGAAATGGGTGAAGGATGAGGTGGTGTGGTGTTGGAAGGCGCGGGAGGTTGGGGTTGATAGTGGGCAGGCATGTGCCAGGCAGTTGGCCTGAGTGTGGTGGGGTCGGGGGGTAGTGGGCCTAGGTCGATTGGGTCGTCAGAAGGGGCAAAAGATGCTGTGCCTGGTGGGTAGGCATGGATAATGGGTTTGTGAGGGCCTGGTGGGTTGGTAGGAGGTGGTTCATTAGATGGAGTGGAATTTGGCACAAGGGAAAATGGTTTCGTGAAATTGTAAATCACGGCTCATAATGAATGTATGGGTATCCAAATCGTAGTGTTTGTAACCTTTTCGGCCATGAGAGTAGCCAACAAAAATGCAACATTTGGCACGATTGTTAAATTTGTGTTTGGGATAGACAACAATACCATAATAAGTTGAATATCAGAGTATGCAACAAACAAGACTACAAAATAATAAGAATATTATTAAACAAACAAGAATGCCGAAACGGCTACAAAACTCCAAGAAACTACATTGTGAATGACTTACTTCTCAAACTAAATTACAAGCAATATTTATAGAAAACTAAACCTAAGAAACCTTAACTCAGATGGGTTAGGCTCAAATCCTAAACTAACAAGCAACAACAACAACAACAACAAAGCCTTTTCCCACTAAGTGGGGTCGGCTATATGAATCCTAGAACGCCATTGCGCTCGGTTTTGTGTCATGTCCTCCGTTAGATCCAAGTACTCTAAGTCTTTTCTTAGAGTCTCTTCCAAAGTTGTCCTAGGTCTTCCTCTACCCCTTCGGCCCTAAACCTCTGTCCCGTAGTCACATCTTCTAACCGGAGCGTCAGTCGGCCTTCTTTGCACATGTTCAAAATCACCGGAGCCGATTTTCTCTCATCTTTCCTACAATTTCGGCTACT